CCGCTTCATTGTTGGATGCCATGAACTCGAAGCGTAGTGCATACTCCAGCTTCACGTTGCTTGGCCCATATAGAACGATCGCAACTCCGCTGCCCTGCTGGTTTAACGAGCCATCCATGTGAAGGATCCAGGGCTCCTCATCCCAATTCGCACTCAGTCTGACCAAGAGAGATGCTGCACTAGTTGCTACTTCACGGTGCTCGAGCTCAACCGGCATGGAAACCTCGGGCCCGCCCGAACTGGGGGCCTCGCATTCAACCAGCCTAGGGGTTTCGGAGCTGAAAGTGCATTCTGCGACAAAGTCTGCTAAGGCTTGGGCTTTGATAGCAATCCCCGGCTTGTATTGGAGGTCATACCCGCTGAGCTCGATGGCTCATTTCATCAACCTACCGGAGACCTCGGGCTTGAGTAAGACTTGCCTTAGAGGTTTGTTGGTAAGGACGATGACAGTGTGAGCTTGGAAGTACAGATGGAGCTTCCGGGCTGCAATGACTAGTGCATAGGCTAGCTTTTCAATCTCTGGATACCTTGTCTCTGCTCCCTGCAACACTTTACTAACATAGTAGATAGGTCGTTGGACCCGATCTACTTCTCTTATTAGTACCGAGCTAACCTCCTCGTTACTTGCCGAGAGGTACAGCTCCAAAACATCACCCTCCTCGGGTCGGGTTAAGATCGGCATACTGGTGAGATACCTTTTGAGCTCGTCGAACGCGAGCTGGCACTCTTCAGTCCATTCAAAGCCTTTGCTCTTACTTACCTTAAAGAAAGGCAGGCAGTGATCTGCTGATTTGGACATGAAGTGGCTCAGGGCGGCTACACGGCCATTCAGCCTCTGAACCTCCTTCAATTTTCGGGGTGGTCTCATATTTAGGATGGCCTTAATCTTTTCTGGGTTGGCCTCAATGCCACGCCGGTTAATGATGTACCATAGAAATTTACCTGAGGTGAGGCCGAACACACACTTGCTCGGATTCAACTTCATGTTGAACTTATGCAAAATTTCAAAGACAGAATGCAAGTCTTGTATTAAATCGTGTGAAAACTAGGTTTTGACGACCATGTCGTTTACATAACATTCCACTTTTCTACTAATCAATGGCTCGAATAATTTATTTACAAGTCTTTGAAAGGTAGCCCTGGCGTTTTTCAATCCAAAGGGCATGACCTTATAGTAGTACAGGCCTAGCTCGGTTATAAAAGCTGTTTTTTCTTCATTAACTGGGTCCATCCTAATCTGATTGTAGCCTGAGTAGGCATCCAAGAAGCTTAGCAACTCATGCCCAGAGGTCGCGTCCACCAGACGGTTGATCATGGGGAGTGGGAACAGTCCATTGGGCAAGCTCAGTTCAGGTCGGTATAATCGACGTACATACGCCATTTACTGTTAGTCTTTTTTACCAGAACGGGGTTGGCCACCCAGCTCGGGTAATGGACTTCTTTTATAAAGTTGGTCACGAGGAACTTCCCGACCTCTTCATCAACTGCTCTCTAGCGTTCTGGAGCTAAATTACGTTTCTTCTGTCTAACGGCCTAACTATAGGATCAATATTAAATTTGTGAGTTATGATGCTAGGGTCAATGCTGGGCATTTCTGCCATGGACCATGCGAAAACATCTAATTTTGGAGTAAGAAACTTACCAGCTAGGATCGCAGGGGCACCTGGACTGAGGCACCGATTTGGAGTATCCGGACTAGGTCCTCTACCGTCTCTTCAGTGGGCACAGCTCGCTCTTCGCCCTGCTCCGTAGGTCGCTCCAGCTCGAGGTCATCGGGCATCTTGGTTTTCCCCTTGAGGGCGGTGACGTAGCACTTGCGGGACTCAAGTTGATCACCTCGTACTACTCTGACCTCGAAGTCTGTGGGGAACTTCATTGCCAAATAATAAGTGGAGACAACTACTCGTAAGGCATGAGTGATCGGCTGACCTACTATGGCATTGTATGAGGAGGAGTCACGACCACTAAGAAACTATTTGTGGGCTTCAGGTCGGTCTCTCATAGCTGGAGCATGTCGAACACGGCCTTGAATAGGATGTCCGCCGAGCTGCCCGAGTCGACGAGGATGCGCCTGACTTCAACGTGATTGATCTTCATCTTTATGACGAGCGTATCATCATGAGGGTAGTGGACCTCGTGCGCATCATCCTCCGTGAAGAAGATTGGATCTTCTATCCTTGACCGCTTCGGGGGATTCTGTTCTTCCCTGGCGATCTCATGAGCTGATGTTCGAGCTGCCGCTGAGGTGCAGCCCGCTACGATCGAACCTCCGACTATTATATGGATGGTCCCCCGAACTGGTCTCCCTTCCGGGGGTTGCCTCTGCGACTGCTCTGCTGGCCTGCTGTTGGATTCAGGAGCGTCTCTACTCTCCTACCGACCTGCTTTATTATTAATATTATTATTCTGTACAAAATTTCTCAAGTATCCGCGACGGATGAGCTCCTCTATCTCGTTGCGGAGGTTTTTACAGTTCTCGGTACTATGACCGTGGTCTTTATGAGAGCTACAATATAAATTTTTATTCCTTTCATTGGGGTTTCCTCTCAGACGGTGTGGCCACTTCACGTACGGGGCGTCTTTGATCGCCATCAGGATCTCAGCCTGCTTCGCGTTCAGGGGAGTGTAGTCAGTCCGTTCTACTGCAGGAGCTCGGAAAGGCTGATTTGGCTTTGCCCCCCGAGCTAAGTCTTTCTTCTTCCTGCTGTCCCTTTGGTTTGAGGGCTCACCCTCCCTCTTTCTTTTCACGGGCATGCCCTCATTTTTCTGGTTGATCTCCTCCTCTGTCCCTATAAACCTGTCTACAAGCTTCAGGAACTCAGCTACAGTCACAGACTGGTTGACAACTATGTGCCACTTGAACTCCTTGTGTGTTACGCCCCTCTTGGCTGTTGTAAGCCGCACTGTGGGGTCCATGCGCAGTATCTGTAGGAATGTGTCGTTGAACCGCTTGATATAACTCTGGATTGACTCCCCTTCCCTCTGGACTATACCAAGGAGGCTCTCTTTAGTTCGCGGGCACCGCTTGCTGGTGACGAAGTGAGAAGTAAAGGCTTGCGCGAATTACGCCCAACTTCTTATTGATCTGGGTGCAAGATTACGGTACCATGTGCGGGCCACCCCTTTAAAGGTGGTGGAGAAAGCTGTACACCATGCAAGATTCACTAGCCCTCGCCAGGTGCATCTGGGATTGAAAAGCGTCAACATGGTCATTCGGGTCGAACGACCTGTCATACTTGTCCAGGGGCGGAAGCTTAAAATCTTTGGGCATGGGAACAACAAGGAGTTCGGGAGACAGGGGGGATGGTACTGAGAGGAGCGAAGTGGCTTTTACCTCACCCAAGCTTACCTCTTCCTTGCCCTCGAGCTCGGGCAGGTTGTTGGTGGCTGTTCGGCGAGTTCGGCGATGCCTCCTTTGCTTTCTGGCAGGCTCCACATTGGTGCTGCTCGCCTCAGTGTGGTCAGGGATAGTCTTCGCAGGGAGTGGCTCAGACTGCTGGTGATGGCTACAGACGGAGGGGTCTTTCCTAGAATTTGCGGCCAGGACCTCGAACTGGTTCTCCACAAGCCAGGGCCTGAACTCCGAAAGCTGAGGTGATGTAGGTCTGGTAGGATGGGACCCTCCCGATCTGACTGCTCGCGGTGAGGCCGGGGTAGCTGGTCCCTCTTTCCTGCCATGGGAAGAGGCTTGACTCTTGAGAGGGTTCTGAGTCTGGGAGGTCTCTCCCCGGCGAGAAGGATGCTTGTTCTGATGGCGAGGTCTAGCATGCTACAAGGCCGGGTGCCGAGGAGGAAGAGGTTGTTGAGCCTGAGGCAGTTGAGGGAACTGCTGCTAGTAGTGGTACTGGGAGACTTGGTGTAGCACTTGCTGCTGGTAGACCTGAAGTTGCTACAACTGTTGCATCTGGGCTTGCATGGCCCGCATGCATTGCACCAGGACGTCGAGCTGGTTTTGATTGACCGTTGGAGGGACGATAGAGGGTTCAGTGAAAGTTGTCCCTACTGATAAAGGAAGAGGAACATTCATGGGTGCCGCTGTCTACGACACGTTCAGGCTGGGGATTCCATCAGCGAAAAGAGGGACAATGAACTGCCCTATGCACATCGCGGGGATTGGGAGTTGTTCCCCGGCGATGTTCATCTCCGTGCTATGTCCGGCATTGTTGGAAGAAGCCATGGATGCCGAGGTCTGTCTGAAAGTTGCTGAGATTGGAGAAAGGCCTTTTGAAGCGATTCCTCTAGACAACGCCAAATGATGTTGCGCAATCCGAGCACTCCTCTAGCGCGGAATCGAAGATTACCTTCGCTCTTTGGGGACTGGGGCTCTTTTATAATGGAACTCTGTCAAATCAGGCGTAACCGCCTCTGTCAGGCCAGGCATAACTGCCACTGTCTCCCTGCCGCAACCGTTACTGCCAGAGCTGAGGTGGCGAACGTAGGCCGCCGCTGTAGGGTACGTACCTGTCAGATGTGAGACACCTTTTAGGGATGGCAGGCACGACGCCACCTGATGAGAGACGTGGGTGCGCCTCTAAAGCACCTCATTGCGCCGCATACACGCGTGCGCGCGTGTTGCGCGGTATCAAACCCCCATACTCTCCTCTACTATTTCTAAGGAGTGTAAATCAACTCCTATTAAAATACTGAAAACAAAGCTTGTAATTTTCCAATGTGGGACAAGTTCAAAATTGGATTTTGTAAGAGAAAAACTAATTTTTCAATCAAGTGTGTAAGTGCAATTTCTCATGTAATTAACCAATCAAACCCATTGGATTTAATCTCTTATGAGATTAAAATCCAACAACCAATATTGAGAAAACAGACCCCTCCTCCCCCAACCCGAGTGAAGGCAGGACTCAATTCTAGATCTCTGCTATTTAAAAAAAAAAGAAAATTAGTAAAAAAATCTTTCAAAATTCAAATGTCTTTTTATAATTATTTTATTTTATTTTTTAATATATCACATATGCCCTTCCACTAGTGACTAATGTTATGAAATACATAGCATGCCCGGCAAATTTCTGATTTCAACACAACCCATTAATAAGACGACATAATACAAGCTGATAGGGATAAAACAACCGACTTAAATGTGATAGGGGAAGGTATGTGCCCCTTATCCTTACGAAGAAAAAGGGCTTGGTATACTGGGAGGTTCAGTGCAACCACAGTCCCACATAGAAGCATTTGCATGCTCAATGCCTCAAGATCTCCAGCTTTCGTGTTCATTACTACACTCTTGAAACTCATCATCACCAAACTGAATAAGTTGAGCAGTGCAAGCGTTGCTAAGATGAGAAACAAGGGAGAAGGGATCCCAAACTCCATGATCTCTTTCTCATATCGTTGTGACACATCCGTGTCTGTCACCTTTGCTGTGATGAGAAATGCTGACTTGGAGAACCCTAGTGCTTGAAGTATTAGGTCAATGAGGGCAAAGAGGTAGGAAGATGTCCTTCTAGACATCCACATCCTTTGATCATTCCACCAGCCTTGAAGTGTGCCACCACAGAAGAGGAACTCGCCTATGCTATATGTGTATTTAGCAATGACCAGATATGCCAAGGGTATAAACCATGGGCTTGAAATCTGAAAGTGAAAAATGAAGAACATGAAGGAAATGTTTAATTCATTTCAAGACAAACAGGCATCACAAAACACATAAACCAGAAACGACTATCACAGAAAGAACACAAAAAAAAAACAAAAAGCAAAAGGAGAAAAACATAGTCAAGAAAAACAACAAAGAGAAATGTCCTTCAAGACAGAGTTTGCTGGCCACCGTGGGCACGCTTCCCAGCTACAGAAACTCTGAGACAAACCATGATGAGCTGCGGTATGAGCCACTTGATTTGCAGAGCGCTTAACAAAAGAGAATATTACATTCAAGCTTTGGGCTAGTTGCAGGCAGTCTAAGAGTTGAAAAGAAACCTCAGTTGGCTTCCTTCACCCAAACTTACCTGTTTAAACAATAAGAAAAGAACTCAAGTATAGTAGAACAATGTTGTCATACTCGGACCGGACATAAAACTGTTTTGGGCAAATGTTTCTATATTATCTTTTGTTGGGTGTGGGTCCAGCCCATATGCGAGGCCCACCCCACTTTTTCATGCTCCCAAAAAGGAGCGGTATTGTGGAACCCAAAAAGGCTCCCACCTTTTTGTTTTGGGTGTGTTTCCTTTTCGTAACTATGGAAGTGAGAAAAGAGAAAAGAAAACAGATATCAAGGGTTTTCTGGGTTTTGAGTTTGTGAAGAAGAGAAGAAGAGAAGAAGAGAGTTGGTTTTTCTGCTCTATTCAAGACCAAGCTCAGAGGTATTTCAAGTCTATTCTTGATGAGATTAGGTGCTGGAGTTAAGAATCCCACTCCAGTTCAAATTTGTTGATTCTTCTTTCTTTTTCTTCTCAATTTAGATTTACAGCAAGTTGGTGAGATCTAAAGCTCTGTTTTTTGTTGTATCCACCTTATATTTGGTGATGTTAATGCTATACTTCTAAGTCAAAGATTATTTCCTTGATGTTTGTAATCCTCTAATTGCAATTTGAGAGGACTACTATATCTATAAATTTATGAATTAGTGGAAGACTTTTACGGATCATAGGTCTTATGGTTTTTCCCCAATTTTGGGGTTTTCCACATAAACATTCTGGTGTGCTATTGTGTAGTGATTGCTATTTGTTTTTCTGTTACTTGGCTGAATTGTTTATTTATTATCATTGTTGTTGGCAAACCCACTTCGACACACAAACTTAAGGGAAATGTTCTTGCTGTCTCGGGATGGTTTTTACAATCATTTCTGCTACTGTAGTGTATCTTCCTAACATCTTTTGACTTCAAAATAAGCTTAAAAGAATTAGGCTGCAGTTGATTGCACTACAGATTCCATTTGCACTGGTCTAAATGCATGGGATTGCAAAAGGGTGTGCAAATTCTGATTTACTTTTGTTTCAGATTTTGTCTTATTTGTTTCTCAGAAGTAAAATGAGGTGACCTCCACTTTAAATGAAAGAGATCAATGGAGGTAAGAGGAAGGTTATCTATGTAGAAATGTAAGGTAGGATGCAAGATAATATGGTTCCCACTTTATCTTGAAAAGAATTGAGGTAGAAGGAAGGTGGTGAAAACTTTGCAATTTGCATCCGTTTTTTGGACACAAAATTTGCATTGCCAACGAGTGCAAAAAAGGCAAAAGTACAATTTTTGCATTAGATAGCTATAGGAATTTAAATAATAACTATAAACAAACGAAAGCAAAAATGTATTGGAAGCAGATTTTGTACCACATCAAAATCTGCACTGCAATGTGCAACCAACCGAGGTCGGCTTCAGTCAGTGCAAGGTCCATTCGAACAGCCTTGCACCGGGAACATCTCTGTACTTTGGTTCTTTATTTCATGGGGAGATATTCCCAATACAAGGCTATAATGGCTGTTGGAATAGGTTCTGCACTGACTGAATCTGATTTCCAACCAACCACCGCCTAGAAAGCAAAAGGGTAACACATTCAAATGAGATAAGTTTGAAGTCTGAATCACCTGCCAAGAAAATCCGTTCCAACACCCTACCAACATTATCCAATACCGCACATCTCATGCGTGGTAGGTCCCACTTTTTCGATGGCTCCAAGTTCATAGTGAGATGTGTGGTATCAGATTAAGTTGATAGGGTGTTGGAATGTATTTTGTTAGCAGGGGATCCGAACTCATAAATTTGAGCCAGTCAACATACACTTAGAATATATTCTTGGTATAAAGAAAATTGAGACAAAAATCCATGCCTATTATTGGAATAAGGAAGTTCATACCGATGGAAACAAGACTATGCCTTGTAGGAGACAGAGTGAAGGGATGATGATGTAACATAATGTTGGGATGCAATTAAATCCCCACATATTATAGATGCAGTATCCGATTTGAAGTCCTGCCTTTATCCTTCCATGTCCTTGCCACAATGAATAGTGCTTGGAAAATACAATTTTGAAATGACCTTCGCACCATCTCTTGTGTTGCAAAAGTGCTTGAGCCAATGTGGTAGGAGCAAGCCCTAAGAAGCTCCTCCTGGCTGGGTTGAAGTAAATTGCTCTCCAACCCCTACATTTAATTGTTAATCCTGTTACTACATCCTCCACTGGACAGCCATATACCAATCCCATCTGCAATTCAACGGTCATGAAACACAAGTGAGCTTGTTTTTGTATGAGAGAGAGAGAGAGAGAGAGAGAGAAAGAGACCTCTTTTCCCCATCCAGTCTTCACCTCATATGTGCAACTGGAAAGGCCCTTTAGTTTTTCTTCTAGTTCCTTTACATTAAATTTTACCTTCTTGGTATTCTCTCTCTTCCAGTCTCTCTTATATTCTTTGTTGTATTTTCTTCCACAAAGGGCCTCTCTTCTATGAAAGCATCCAGTGCCAACATACAAAGGGCCTCCATAACCATCCAATCCATGAAGCTCCAACTTCATTCAAAATCATTGAAGAAAATGAAGCAAAAATAAGATGCATGAAATCTATTTTGAGCACATAAATATAACAAATCAAAGCACTTTCAACTTCAACCTTCAAAATGCTTATAAATAGGGGTGCAGTTGAATTGAACTCTAATTGAAAAGTTTGGGCTCAGGTTCAATTAGGCTTGGCTTGAGTTTGATTCGACGATTCTAATTGAGTTCAAATCCTGGGGTAATCTCAATTAATTATTCAAACTCAAGCTTGACCAATAGAAAGTTTGATTCTAAAGTTGCAACTTTTCAAACTGAACTTTCTATTGGTTAAGCTTGAGTTCGAATAGCTAATCGAGCTTACCCCAAGATTTGAATTCAATTAGAATCATCAAATCAAATTATAAGAATATACTATATATTATATATTTAAAAATATATTCATTTTTGACCTTTTGAGCCAAACTTGAACTCATTGAATATTTAATCAAACTCGAGCTCGAACCCGAAAGTATTTTAGTTGAACCAAGTCAAGACATGCCAAAATTTGGCTTGGTTCAGCTTGATTGCACCCCTAGTTGCAAGTGTTTTCTAATACAAACCTCAATGCCGATTCTTATTAAGCTGCCATAGATATCATTCTTGGTGTTATTATTGATGACTTGTGGGTATTGTACATAAGCAATCTCATTGCCTTTCTCTTCATCCATGAGAAAACACAGTGCATCTCTCACGGACTCTGAATTGTTAGAGTACATGTCGCAGTCTACATTAAGGATAATCTCTCCATTGCTGATTTGTGATGACACCCTTATCTGTGTGATCGATCATGACAAAATTAATGATTGATGTTATAATAAGAAAAAAAAAATAGTTGTCAAACAACTTCACAAAATTTGTATTAGAGTTTGATAATTAACTTAATATGTATAATGATGTTTAAGAATTGGTTAGTGGTAAAAATTAAGGGGGTGATCTCTAATTTGAATTGTTTTTCTTGTTGTAAGTTTCAAAACCAAATGAAACCATTTAGTTTGAAAACAAATTGACTCTTAAACTAAAAACACAGAAAACATGCATGTTATTGGTTATGTATATGTTTTTTCTTTCAATATGATACCGAGAGTCACTACAAGAAAAGTGATTTTTAGCGGCATTTGAAAAGCTATGAATTTTGTATTATATGGTGTTCTTAAGGTTAAGTTTGGAAGGATTACAAATACAAATATGTAGAGTGCAAAACTATGAATTTTGCATTATATTGTATGTATTTGTACTATACATATTTGTTTTTGTACTCCTTTCAAATTAAGCCTAAGCTTTTGTTTTAAAGAACATGTTTTCATTTGGTCATTTAATATCATATTCCACAAGTGATCTAAACTATACAAAAAGCATGATAATTGTTAATAAACAAACCTAACTTGCTTACTTATCAAAACAAAAATAGAAAGCATTCTTTTGTTTTTGTTTTCTTTTGTTCATGTGACAATTTCAAAAACAAATGAATTTCAAAAATAATCGAAACCATCTGATTTGAAAACAAATTGCTTCTCAAAACAAAACAAAATGAACATGCTCTTGGTTATGTATGTCTTTTCTGTTTTCAAAACGAAAACCAAAAATCTGTTATTGTTTTTGTTTTAAAAACATTATTTGATGGTGCCAAATTCAAAACAAAATCATTCTTGTTGTATGGCACCCCCTAAAATGTTATGCAAACCCTATTTATGCAGTATCTGTATTTGTTTCCAATAAGTTACCAGTGCATTCATAGCTCCAGCCTTGAAGTTATGATGGTAATGGAATCTCTTCTCACGGGCCATATATACTAGAGTTGGCAATTGCTTTCCTTCCATGTCCACAAAATTATGGTCTCTTCCATCAATTAATATCTAATAAAATTAAAACATATTAGCCAAGAGAAATATATAGTTAGGACCTTTAAATTATTTATTTATTTATTATTTGTTACAAGTTTGAATTCATTTCATTTTTTCAATAGAAATCTACCACCTGAAGAATGGTTTGATGATCACGTGGATTCGAACCCAACACCCATTCAAGATATCCTTTGTGCGCTTTGCGCATTTCCTCTGTGATTTCACCTTGGGTAGTTACAGTCTCTACCCGATTCTCCATGTCTTTGTATAATTTCTACAACAAAAAAATAGGAAAAAGAATACTATCTACCATTAATGCACTTAAAACAATACTTTGAAAGCCAACGGGGTAGTGCTTTTGCATAGTTCAATGGGTGATGATTCAATAATGAGGATACAATCTATATTTATCTGTACTTATATCAAAAGTTGTGGAATGAGGCCTACATTCTGAAATTTTTCTTGACTGAAATTCCGCTATAATTGAATTTGGTCTCTCTTTATTATTAGGGTGAAATATATAATTTGAACTACTATTTATGTTAAACTGATTGTATATCTTTTAACAACTCTACTTATAATTCATTTTATACCCTTTAGCTAGTAACTGAAGGATATAGTTAAGAGGAAGGAATTGATTACGATGAAAGTTACGCTCCTATAGCTTAGTTAAAGTCCATCATAATGTTTCTAGCCTATGCTAGTCACAAAAATTTCAAGGTATAGCAAATGGATGTAAAAAGTGATTTTTTGAATGGATTAATGAAAAAATATATGTCAAGCAACCCCCATTAATTTGAAAGCAAAGAATTTTCTAATCATGTACTCAAGATATTAAAAGCCTTGTGTGGATTAAAACAAGCTCCCAGAGTTGGTACGAGAGATTGAGCATATTTTTAGTGGAAAAAGGATTCATAAGAGGAAAAATTGATCTCACTTTGTTCATAAGACATGTGGAAAATGATATGATCATTGTTTAAATATATGTTGATGACATTATTTTTGAATCCACAAATCAGAGGCTATGTAAGGACTTTGCTAAATTAATGGAATTTGTATTTAAAATGAGCATGTTAGAAGACCTAAACTTATTTCAAGGTCTACAAACAAAGAAGCAAGAAGAGGGAACCTCCATTAGTCAAAACAATCTGGAAATGTGTACGTAAGAATATCTATATCTATACCTAAAGGTTGTTAAAAGAATATCTATATCTATATAAATATATTAAGCTAAAATGTGTACGTAAGAAGGCCTGAGGATGAGGAAAATGGAATCTAACAATATTTTCTGCCTTTTTTTATAGAAATTACAAGAATACCACTTTATACCAATTTTCTCTTTTTTATTTTGTTCTTTCAAATTATAGGAATGCCATTCTCTCCTACCAACTCTCTCTCTCTCTCTTGCTTTTTCTTCTTTTAAATTACAAGAATGCCATCTCTCCCTTCTGTTATCTCTCTATCTCCTTATAAATTACAAGAATGCCACTCTCTCCAATTAAGAGATACCTTAACTCGACATCTCGGTTTCTAGGGGACCTGCAATCAAATGTAGTCGAGTTCGAGTCGAGCCTAGATCGAACTTTTGAGCTCAAGCTCAAGTCTCTAATTCGAATAGAGCTCGAGCTTGATGACACCTCGACCACTAAGGGAGACCTCAACTCGGCACCTCAGTCACTGAGGGAGATCTCGGTTCAGTGCCTTGACAACTGAGGGAGACCTTAGCTCGGCACCTCGCCTGCTAAGGAAACCTTAGCTCGACACTTCAGCAACTGAGGGAGACCTCGATTTGGCACCTTGGCAATTGAGGGAGACCTCAGCTCGGAACCTCGGCTCAACACCTCGGCTGCTTGAGAGACCTACAATCAAACATAGCTGAGCTTGAACTTCCGAGCTTTTGACTCGAGCTCGAGCTCAAGTCTTTAATTTGAATCAAGCTCGAGCTTGATAGTTTATGAGCGAGCCCTGCAACACAGGGCCCCCTCCGCTAGTAAATATATTAAGCTGAAATGTGTACGTAAGAAGGCCTGAGGATGAGGGAAATGGAATCTAATAGTATTTTTTGCCTTTTTTCTAAGAAATTACAAGAATGTCACTTTCTCCTACCAACTCTCTCTTTTTATTTTTTCTTTCAAATTACAAGAATGCCACTATCTCTCCTACCAACTCTATTTCTCTCTCTCTCTTTTTCTTATAAATTACAAGAATGCCATCTCTCTCTCTCTCCTTTTAAATTACAAGAATGCCACTTTCTCTCCAACTGAGGGAGACCTCATCTCAGCATCTCGTCTACTAGGGGACCTGCAATCAAAGGTAGTCAAGTTCGAGTAGAGCCGAGCTCAAACTTTTGAGCTCAAGCTCAAGTCTCTAATTCGAATCGAGCTCAAGCTCGACGCCACCTCAACCACTAAGGGAGACCTCAGCTTGGCACCCCAATCACTGAGGGAGATCTCATCTCAACACCTCAACAACTAAGGGAGACCTTAACTCGACACCTCACCTACTAGGGAAACCTCATCTCGACACTTTCAGCAGTTGAGGGAGACCTCGATTTGGCACCTCGACAATTGACGGAGACCTCAGCTCGGCACCTTGGCTACTTGAGAAACCTGCAATCAAAGGTGGCCGAGCTCGAACTTCCGAGCTTTTGACTCCAGCCAAACTCGAGCTCGAGCTCAAGTCTCTAATTCGAATCGAGTTCGAGCCTGATAGTTTATGTGTGAGCCCCTACAACGTAGGGCCCCCTTCGCTAGTTTGGATACTTAAAGGGAAACCCAAAATAACGATTTCAATCTTACAAGATACTCAAATGTAGATATTGTAGGTAGTTAAACCAACAGAAGAAACACTAGTGGTGCATGTCACTAAGGGTGTCAATAGACCTATTTTGGATTGGACCTCGACCAATCTAAAATCAATTTGGACAGATTGGATGGACCAACAAGACATATTAGATTGGACGAATCCAGTCCAAATATTTATTAGATTGGATTGGACCTGGTCCGTCTGTAACAAATTTATATTGGATTGGGTTAGATTAAGCAAATATTTGGTCCATTGATATAAGATAAGAATATATGTGTCAATGGACCAGGTTTGGGTTGAAATCAATCTAAATCAAAATGAACTTGAACAGATTGGATGGTCCAAACATTGAATTGGACCGGTCCAAATTGGTCCAAAACATTCATTGGATTGGATTTGACCTGGTCCATTTATAATGGACTCACAATGGACTGGATCAGATTGGACCAAATCTAGTCCAATTGACACCCCTTTATGTCAATTTCTAGGACCTTGTTTAGTATCTTGGACATGTAGAAAACAAATCTCAGTAGCCTTATACATTACTGAGGCTGAATTAATTTGTGGCTTAGGTAATTGTGTAACCCAAATACTATGGATGAAACAACCCCTAGAAGGCTATGGGTAAAAGTTTCAATTAATTGTGATAATACTAGTGCAATAAATCTCTCGAAGAATCTTCTACAACACTCAAGAACTAAACATATTGAAATTAAACATCACTTTATTAGGGATCATATTTCTTGACAGTATGGCCGGCCAAAAATAAGAGGAAGAGAAGAGAAGAGAAGGGAAGAAGAAGAGAGAAGAGAAAAGAGAGAAGAGAAGAGAAAAGAGAGAAGAGAAGAGAAGAGATTTGCAATTTAACAATGCTGGCGACGCCAGCCTTTATTATAATATATATAGGGCGGCAGAAATAACAAGGGAAAAGACCCTTGTGCCCCTGAATACAATAACAAACATAAACATAAGTGAAAAACAAAAAAAAACACTTTAACTAGCCAAACAGACCCTAACATCAACAACTAAATTATTTTAACACTCCCCCTCAAGTTGGAGCATAGATGTCAATCATGCCCAACTTGTCACACAAATCTTTGTGCCGCACATGATGAAGACCTTTGGTGAAGATATCTGCAAGTTGTTCTTTTGAGTTGACATATGGTGTACACACTTCTCCATTTTCAAGTTTCTCTCTAATAAAATGCTTGTCCACTTCAATGTGTTTTGTCCTATCATGTAGGACTGGATTAGCAACAATATTGGTGGCAGTTTTATTGTCACAGTAGAGTGACATAGGATTGCTCACTGCGAAACCCAGTTCACCTAACAGATTTCTTATCCACACCCACACACTTGGGTTTAATAACCAGGTTGAGCACAAACAGTACCAAATTCAAGACAAAAACAGAGGTAATATTCGGCAGATTTCAGACCTATACAGTTTTAATAGTCCCAACCTACCAGCATTTCAAAATGTCTAAAGCCATTAATCAGCAGAAGAGATCCTTATCACTTATAATCAAATCAAATTATTGAGATGACATGTCATCCTTGACCTACAGTCGTCTTAACACATGAACAGGATCACACGATCCAAAAAAAACAGGAGTATACAGATCCGACAGCATTCAGTAGCCCAGATTCATTTGGTTTTCACTCAGTACACGACCAAGGAGAGTAAAGAAGAGAAAACGGAAGAGCTGTACCAGTCGTAGAGCTGTTTTCCTCAATCCAGATTCAGATTTCTGTTCCGCCCAGGTTCAGCAAGTCTGTTCAATTTGTTATCTCAATAAAGGTTGTTTGGTCTGCTCTCTTTAGTCAGTATTCCCGCTCTGACACCATCTTAACAGTATGGCCGGCCAAAAATAAGAGGAAGAGAAGAGAAGAGAAGGGAAGAAGAAGAGAGAAGAGAAGAGATTTGCAATGTAACAGTGACGACGACGCCAACCTTTATTATAATATATATAGGGCGGCAGAAATAACAAGGGAAAATACCCTTGTGCCCCTAAGTACAATAACAGACATAACAAAAGTGAAAAAACGAAATAAAAAAACACTTTAACTAGCCAAACAGATCCTAACATCAACAACTAAATTATTTTAACAATATTCAAAGAGAAATATTGAACTAGTATTTGTTGACTCAAAGCATCAACTAGTTGATATATTTACCAAATTTCTTGGGAAAGCTTTTACCTATATCAGAAGGGAATTGGGAATGTTTGAAACATAGCTAGCTTTTGTGTGCTCTACTAGTAATCTACACTTTATGTGTTTTGATAATTTATTTTCCCCATGTTTCCTTTCCTTTTTACTGATACCAAAAAGGAGAGAATTTGGTGGTTGATTTGAAAAATGATATTTAAGCATGCTATATTGTTTTGAGGTAAAAAAAAAGAAAAGAAAAAAAGAGGCATCCTCCTCAAGAAGATAGGGGTAGAGTTGAGAGATAAAATCTCCTCAATCATAGGGAGGAAGAAGTATGAATTCCTTACATGTTTCATAGGAAGCTTTAAATATTGTGCCAAAATACTTCACTCAGAGAAGCTATTATTGGTTGTGCTTATTGTGCATCACTATTTTGGGTAGCATATTGACAAGGGAAGTACTCTCTAATTGTTCTTATTTATTATCATTTTTCTATCAATGGTTTGTCATCATAAAAAAGGGGGAAAATGTTGGCCCTATTTGTTTTGACGAAAACAAACTCAATGAGAGTATGAATGATTTGTACTAAGTGTGTAATTGAATCCACTGGGAGTATGAATAATTTGTGATAAGTGTGCAATCATATCCATTGAGCTAAAAATGATTAATGGGCTAAAAATGATTAATGGATGATAGATGAAGCAAAAGCATGGATGAAGTGTTGGGTAGGTGTCAATATTGTTTAACCTCTCCAAAGAGGAAATTGACTTCCAAAAGTTGAAGAAAGGAGAGCATTCAAGTTCAACTAGTCTATGTTGTGTGATATTTAGGACTTTGATGTAAATCATAAGCATGAGATGTACGCTATGGGCTCAAACATAACCAATCGGAATAAAATTATGTAAGGTTCTAAAGTCATGAAAAATGAGTAGTAAACTACCCTTGACAACTAAGACATGTGTTTAAGTAAACATTATTTTCTGCCTCCGAAGACAAAGTAAATGTGGACTAAGTTTTTTTTGTTGTATACACAATTGCTCTCAATAAGTATTCAAGTAGAGTTACATGAGGTGCATTAAATCAGATGATAAAAATTCTAAGTAAACTTGTGTACATGCAAAAGGRAAAAAAGTTTTTAAGTATGAGTTATTATACTTTGTTAGTAAAAATATGAACAAGGCTCTAAGTACGTATGTCATCTATGCATGAAGTATTAGTAGTTGGAAAGTTAGAAGTGTGGTATGCATTGCCACTACTAGTATCGATCAAAAGTCATTACTTAATACAGAAGTAGAATATGTTGTGTATAGGGAAAATGCTAAGTACAATTGGCATTCCCTGTAATTGGCATTCCCTGTCATTTACAAGAGTACGAGGCAATGTTGGGCAATGTAAGTTTTGTATRAGTATGGTCATGAGGTGGCCAATGAGAGTTTTGTATCATGGGATTTACCATCGAGCTAGAACACCCCCAGARCTACTAGATCTTTTGTGCAATGTGTGGCCAATGTGCAATTCTAGGTCTTTGGGGATGGGATTGAACAAATATAGTACATGAGGTATAAGACTTTTCATTGAAGATGTAGCAACAATGGACTAGTGAGTAGACACAAGGTTTTTAAAACCGACCCGAACAATGAACTGGTCAGGAGTCTGGTTTCCGGGTCGAATGGTCTGATCATTCGAATTGAACGGATGGCCTGCACTGACAAAAAATAAAAAAATTAAAAAGAAAAATAAAAACCAACCAAACCGTTGAATGGTTCAACTGCCTGGGTCAGCGGTTTACTGACCAAATCAATGGTTTTGAGGGAAATAACAGTTCTGGGGTAAAACAGAACCAATCTCCTGACCGTTACCAGTTTTCTGGTCCGACCGTCYGGTCTGGTCCGGTTTTGAAAACCATGACTAGACAAATTCTTCGAACATACTCATTGGCAAATAACAAGCCAGACAACCATAATTATCTCCGAGACATCTTGGAGTTTAATACTTTTTGGCTTTGCCCCCCCCTTCTGTGAGTGGGGATGGGACCTCACCACCTAGCCTGGAGGATAGCTATTGATATTGGTGTGGTGGCTTTGTTGCTAGGGAGGATTTACTATTATTGTTGATGAAAACATGCTAGTTAATCAAGCAAATATGCTACTTCTATCCCTTCATAAGCTTTGTCGTCCATCTTGATGATTTGAACATAGTGGTTCCAAATGGTGAACTTTTATCTTTTCTCTTGCAAGATATTGCAGACTCGTACTTCTATCCCTTGTACTTGTTGTTTAAGTGTATGTTTTCTCTTCTTGTTTAGAGGTTTGCCTTTCTTCAGTATAATCTGTTACTGGGCTGCCGGTTTGTTCTTGTGGTCTTTTGCTCGTCTTCGCTTTTATTATGGAGTAGAAGGACGAAGGTAACCTGGAGGGACGACAAGTTTTGCTTTAGTGTGTTCAGTTCTCTCAAGGAAGGCTGTGAATATTAAGGGGCTCTGAGATATGCTTATGCAGACTTGGGATAGACCAGGAATGACTGTTAGTGATGCAGTGGATGGCCGTTTCCTTATTTTCTTCGACAAGGAGGTGGAACATCGTAGATTCCATGATCGTGGACCATGGATGTTCATGAAAAACCTGACCATATATCAGGAATATGTACCGGGCTTAAGTTTAAAGGAGGTTCCACTTCTCTGGGAGAGTTTTGGGTTCAGTTGCATGGTCTACCCATACCTCAGATRACAGAGACTATGGCACGAAAGTTTGGAGGGATTATTGGTGAAGTGATTAGAGTTGTTAAACTAGCACAGACGGAAACTTTGAAAGGCTACATGAGAGTTCGGGTTCGCATGGAGATCCTACAACCTTCAAAACCCMGCTACCCTCTAAAGAGGAGAAAACTAAACCCTTTATGGGTGGAGTTCCGCTATGAGAGGTTACCTATCTTTTGTTACAAGGRTGGCAGAATAGRGCATGATCGAAKGTTCTATTCTAYAGGAAGAAATAYCTTGAATGAGCAAAAAGGGGKGGAGGATGATGAGGATGTGGAACAGGATCGGAGAACACTTCTAACRAAGGATTASAACCCCAGACAGCAYGACACTTGGTTGAGAGCAGAGTTTCACCGGAATTCAACCCGAAGAGCAAACATACAAATGCTGTTTGAAGATGCCCATGGTGGCCACACAATGAGTGACACTCCGGCGATAGTCTCCCGGAATCCTCCTGATCAGAATTACAGTGGGAGCCTAGCAACAAGCCAGCGAGGAGGTGGCTACAGTCAGGATCTGACTTGCTCTGAACAAATAGGGACATATGGCATCTGGGGAGAGAGACTTAGTAATCCCGAGGAAGAGGATCCGGGATCATGTCGGCATATGATCCAAAACACTAAAAATTTTGAAGGGATTGGAGATCCATCATATAGATGACCAAACCCTACAGGAAGGTTGGGCGAAATTTCAAAAATTTTCTTTACTCCCATTTGGGAATCGTATTCCCAATTTAGAAAGCTGCATTTTCAAGGTTCGTTCTTGTAACCAAACCAACCAAATCTGAAACCAAGATTTGGTAGAGGTATACCTGATATAGAATCCACGCAAAAATACTCCTGCAATGCAGTTTTTCACACCTAAAGAGTGTACCAAATCCTCTCTCCACTGAAAATGACACGGCTGACGATGAGGCAGGATCAACAAGTAGTTCTTCACTAAGAACTTCTGATTCTTCAGCAAGAATCGAATGGGGTAGTGAGCACGGGTTTAGAATTGTTTCTTCTAGCAATAAACAATATCAAGATCTAATCTTGATCTCTTCCAAGAAATGGAGATCGAACAGGGTAGGACGGAAAAAGAAGGGAGAAAAAAAACTGAAGGCTGAAACAGTCAAACTGAGTTGTCTTYTGTGTTGTATATTTTTCAAATCCGCCCTGCTCTTTATTTATAACTTTAAAGAAATGACCTCCTAATCTGATTAGGAGTTTCTTGATCCAAATCTTTATTTGGATCTGAACTCTTTAAGTGATAAGGATAACCTCTTATCCTATCTGCAAATCAAGATAAGCTTTTCCTAATCAAATTAGGAGTTTCCTGATCCAAATCTCTATTTGGATCTGGACTCTTTAACTGGATAAGAGTTATCCTCTTATTCTTATCTGCTGATCCATACCTAGATTCGCACCTATTTAATTAATCCAATTAACCCAGTTCGAAATGGGCTTTAGGCCCATTAAGCTTTCTGCTCTGTGTCCTCAATGTGAAGAGGAGGAGGAATCGGTAGTTCATGTTCTACTTAAATGTGATTTTACTAAGGCTATCTAGTTTGATAGCAACTTAG